CTAGAAATGAAGGATCAATTCAAAGAAAAGGAGAAACAGCTCGAAGAGATTGATAGAACTCACTCCAAAGGCTGGTGGGAAGAGGTAGCCGTTGAGAGCCTTGATGCAAGTGACGTCAAGCAGTGGACCACTTGGTTCGAGGCCCTTAATGCCTGAGTCGATAGACGGATTGGTGAGATCAAGAATGGCTCGGGCACTGGCGCCACAGGATCAGCCATATAGTCCATGAAATAGCAATTGTTAGATTTTTTATTTTACTTCTGTAAAATTGCTCACGTTTTGAGGGATTGCCGTTAGCAATCTATCCAATACCTTATTTTGGAATAGAATATATGATGATAATGCACCTAAAAAATTAGTCATAGAAAAGATATATAATCTATTCGATCTTAACATATCTACATCTTGCGAACTTTCATCCCAATTATTACTATTCATTATGTACGCACATGAGACATTTGTATAACATTTTTTTGTTACCAACTGGTTTTGTAACAATTTTTTTTTTACCCACACACATTCACGCACTCTATGGAAATTGAATCCCTATCTTAAGCATACCAAGAAGTACTCAACTGCTTGAGCTACGCCTCCTCAGCTTTTGTAACAAAAAAGTCTTCAAACCTTTTGTTATGTACTAGAAATTGTAACAAATACATTTCCCATGTGCCCATTAAGGGCGTGGACCTTCACCTTTTTGTTATAAAAATTATTGTCACAAGTACTTTTTGTGTCATGACTTTCTGTAACGGTCAAATTACTCAACGAAGTCGACACAAAAAAGTATTTGACACTAAATTTGAGCATTTGTTGTGAATTATTAATTACTACGAAAAATAAGTTTTTTAGGTAGTGTATTAAAATTTATTTCAAACATGTAACTTACCACTACTAAGTGAAAAAAACAAAATGAAATATAATTAATCAAATGCAAATAAAAAGATCATCGCTTAAATATTGTTATTATTATTTATTAAAAAATATATATTAATTATTTAAGCTCAAAATAAATATTACATGGTCTATAAAAAGGTCGATATTCATTCGTCAATCATCATCCACCTAACTATCTATCAACAGAATACTGTACCATCTATATGATCCTTAATTGTATTTTATATATCATACAATGCATATAATGATAATTCATTGGTTCCATTGCCATGTAGTAGCAACAATGCCGAATGATTTGATCATTGGTAAGTTATTTTATTTTATTTGAAAATTTTGCTCATTTATTTATTGTTGAATTTTTGTCATTTGGATCCACCCCAATATAAAACACTATACACCTACTATGCAGCCCATTAGAATCTGGGCCTAGCCCGTGATCCACAACCCGCGCCCGCTTGCCCTGATTTGTGAACCGTGACCTGCGTCTGCGCCCACTTACCTTGCCTATGCCATGACCTGCGCTTCGACCCATGACCGGATTTAAATCTGTGTCCTTTTACTAGACGTGATCTGAGCTGTACGATCTATGTCTTTGATATTGGTCATCCATTCACTTTTAACCTTCCTATATATAGAGAGGAGAGAGAGGTGCTCTCTCGTTATCAACTCACTCTCTCTCTACACTCATCCTCTCTAGTTTTTCTCTCTCGACCTCTCTCTGGCCATTCCTCCGGCGACTTTTCGCGGCCGTTCATGGCGGTGCCTTTCCTCTTGTAATTTTGTGGAGTTTCAGTGGCATGTTTTTCCCCTTAGTTTGTAGTTGCTCGTAGCCGCAAGGGGTTTTTTCGACGCTGTAAGCCTTTGGTTGCCTTGTCTGTTTGTGTGTGGGGTTATATTCGTGCGTATTGCGGGTTGTGGCCTGTTCTTTTGTGTAGTCGCTAGTTAGGTGTGTTTTGTTCCCATTAGTTTTTTTTCGAGTTGGTTGGGGCTGAGTCTAATCAAAACTAATTCAAATTTTTTTCGATTTCGTAATAAAATTTTCGATCCGTTCATATATTTAATAACATTTATTTTTGTTTCACATATTTTTATATCCATAAAATCTTGAATTATCTGTAAAAAAACTTTTGAAAAGAATATATATTATACAAATTTAAAATTAAAATTAACATATCAATTTAATATTTAAGTGATGTTATTTTTCTTGTGGTAAATTAGTAAGAGCAAAACTTTGCGAAAACTTTACCTATATGTATAATACAATTTAACGAATTTTCGTCAAAAAGATATAAAAAGACAATAACTTTATGCACAAATTAATTCACTAGTAATATATTGGATCAATAAGATATAATTTCAAGCACTAAAATTTAATTTAAACAAATGCAATTACTATTATTACTAATAAAAATGAAATAAATCATGCATAAAAATTCTTTATTTTTCTTTTATTTTTTTCCAATTTAACATATGTGTCGCATAATTTTTACCAATAAAATTGTAAGTGCGTACTATCTCTTTACGACTATAATTAACATTTGTTTACTAAAAAATAAATAAATTGATTACTTACTCCAAAAATAAATGATACACGGTATCTATAAAGCTCGATGTTCATTTTCCAATCATCAACATAATAATGTATCATCTATATGCTCGTAATCATTGCTGAGCTATTTCATCTATTGTAGGTGGAGAGTTTATGCATAGCGTATTTGAAGAACTGCGTTGCATGTTCCCACGTTACTAAAAACTATTAGATAATAATAATAATAATAATAATAATAATAATTTATTATTATTATTATTATTATTATTAAAAGTTTGTAAGATTCATTTTAAATTTAAATTTTGATAATGACAAATTTGAAAGTTATTAAACCAAAATACTTATATGAAATGTGAAAAAGAAAATATAAGGGTGAACGTGTTTTTAATGTTACGTATGAGTAATCGTGTCGATAATATAAAAGAATTATACTACCTCCGTCCGGCTCTAAAGGTCATATTTACTTTTTACGTGTTGATATTTGAATATTAATTATTATATCAAAACGTAGTACAAATTAAGAGAAAATAACAAAAATACTTCTATTAGTGTCTTGTAATAATAATAGAAGGACATTTGTATAAAAAATATATATATACAATTATAAGGATATTTTTAACGTCAAATAGAATGACACAAAAGGTAAATATAACCCTTAGAAGTGGACGAAGAAAATATTTTGTTTGAATTGTTGACTTTTATTAATTGATGAATAAAGTATATATATATATATTATATGTTGTATTTTTTTTATAACATTTATGGAAAATCGTTCTATCAATACATATTTTATTTATTTGTATTATAAATTTCTTCTCTATCATTATTGACTATATATATAATTCTAAAAATTAAATTTTATAATAATTACACACATCAAATTAGCAATCCATATAATTAATTGATGAATATATTGTACTTTCCAAAGAGGAGTCATAATATACAACCAAATCATGACAATTGCATGCAACATATTTAATTTATAATAATAATAATAATAATAATAAACAGTTTATTGGATCAACAAAACAATATAGAAAATATACCTTACATAAACATTTTTATAAAACAGCAAATACATTTATTTAAATACACAATGTAAACTTAAACAATTTCATGTACATAAAATTCTTGACTACTAATTTAATTGGAGCAATAAGATAACTTCAAGCCCTAAATTATTTTTTTTTTTTAAAAAAAAAATTACTACTCCGGAAAAAAAAAGGAATGTAAAATACTAAAAATGAAAAATAAAAAGATTTTCCTTTGATTTGTCTTTCCCACTATAATTTTGAGTCGTATACTTTTTTATCAATAAAATCTTAAATATAAAATCGTTTACAAATATAATTATTATTTTTTACCTGAAAAATATTCACTTACGCTCGAAATGAATGTTATACGGTCTATATAAAGGTTGATATTCATTCGTTACTCGCCCACCAAACCATCAAAACAATAATATACCACTTATCTGCTCTTAACAAGTATTTCATACATCACATAGCGATAATTCATCGGCTATATTGCCATGGAATGACAACTATGCAAAATAATTTGATCATTGATAAGTTATTTCCTTTATAATGCTTATTCTATTTTAATATTTGCGCAATTTTATAAAACACACGATTTTCATATAAGATATCACATTCAACTAATATTTCACTCAAAAATGAAAAACACGAAAACAAAATTAAATACAAAGTATGCAAACCCTTAGCCGATCCTTATTATGTTTCACAACCAAACACACACATATATTTCTAACAAATCTCATTTTTTTTTTATAAAAACATTTAGAAGAATATTATATATATTATATATTTTAAATAAAGAATAAGTTTTGAATATAAAAACATTTTTTTTAAAATAAAAAATAAAAATTAAAGATAAATGTTAAACGAGTAAAGATTAGATACAAACAAATAAATGATTGAATGATGTAATTTGCCTTCTGCTGTAATTTACTTAGAGCTGCATTTTGCTAACATTTTGCCATCGATTTCATTTTTTTTTTTTTTTTTTTTTTATTATTATTATTATTATTATTATTATTATTATTATTATTATTATTTAAAAGTGTAGTTTTTTTATTACTGGAAGTACATTTGGTTAATTAAATAATATTTGTATATTCTAATCTTTTGCATTACTATAGTTATGATCCTACAAATTAATTTTGACTAAATCACTCAAATAGTCACTTAAGATATCAAAATAATAATATCATATGCTATATAATGTCAATTAACAAAATATTAATTTCTTATCACCAATTAAAAATATAGAACATGCTTAATTTTATTTTGGGATAGCAAATATAATTTTTTCTTTTCGTATATGTCTGCATGAAATAATTTCACAAATAAAAAATGCAAAACTACATTTAATTGTGATAAGCGATAGTGCATTTTTAAATTTTTTTTATTTAACTATAAATATGTTGCTAACAAAGCTATATAATTCACCAACACATCTCACAAGTTTTGAACATCTTGTTATTGTTATATTTCACTTATTTTTATTTAATTTTTCACTTAATTATATTTATAAAATGGCGACTAGACAAACAAGGGGTCGTCAGAGAATCCCTATTCAACAAATTGAGAATAGGAATGACATGTACGCCACTTTTAGCAAGCGACGCCTTGGGCTGTATAAAAAAGCGAGTGAACTAAGCACTCTTTGCGGTGTTGATATCGGAATAATTTTATTCTCTCCTACTGACAATCCATACTCATTTTCCCATCCAAGTATGGAGTCAGTGATAGGGAGATATAGAAACCCCAACCACCCCACCAACAATAACTCTCAACTCATCGATGCTCCATCCAGGGACCGAATTAAAGAGCTCAATCAACAGTTAGACGAGATCCTAGAAATGAAGGATCAATTGAAAGAAAAGGACAAACAGCTCGATGAGATTGATAGAACTCACTCCAAAGGCTGGTGGGAAGAGGTAGCCGTTGAGAGCCTTGATGCAAGTGACGTTAAGCAGTGGACCACTTGGTTTGAGGCCCTTAATGCCCGAGTCGATAGACAGATTGGCGAGACAACAATAGCTCGAGCACTGGCGCCACAGGATCAGCCATATAGTCCATGAAATAGCAATTGTTAGAATGTTTTTCTTTTTTTTTTTTTTTTTTTTTTGGTGAAATGGCTTACGTTTTGAGGGATTGTCATTACAAATCTATCCGATACTTGTTTTGTCTATTAATGGCGTTGACCATCACTTTTTTGTTATGAAAATTCTCGCCACAAATATTTTTTCTGATGTAACCTTTTGTAACGATCAAAATCCTCAAAAAAATATTTGACACTAAATTTGAGTGTTTGTTGCGATTTATTAATTACTATGAAAAGTTAATTTTTTGGTAGTGTACTAAAATTTATTACAAACATGTAACTTACTACTTTTAATAGAAAAACAAAATGAAATAAAATTAATCAAATGCAAATAAGAAGATCATTCTTTGATTTATTTTGCCTAATGTAATATAGTTTTTTTATTTATAAAATATGAAATGTAAAATTGTTTAAGGATTGTTGTTGTTGTATTTTATTAAAAGAATATATGAATTACTTACGCTCAAAATAAATGTTACATTGTCTATAAAAAGGTCGGTATTCATTTGTCAATCATCCACCTAACTATCTATCAACACAATACTATATACCACATATATGATCCTTAATTGTATTTTACATATCATACAATGCGTAATGATAAATCATTGGCTCCATTGCCATGTAGCAGCAACAATGCCGAATAATTTGAATATTTTGCTCATTTATTTATATAAAAGCCATGTAGCAGCAACAATGCCGAATGATTTGAATATTGTGCTCATTTATTTATTTATGTTTTATATATTTCTGTCCATAAAATCTTGCATTATCTATAAAAGAAATTTTCACAAAAAATATATATTATAAAAATTTAAAATTCAAATCAAACATATAATTTAATATTTAAGTGATGTTTTTTTCTTGTGGTAAATTAGTAAGAGCTATACTTTGCTAAACCTTTACCTATATTATGTATAATTAATTATATATATATATATATTGTGAATGGAAATTTCCATAAGTTATTTTGGCATATGAACTAATGGTGTCTTAATTTCTGCACCAAAGACTTTCCAAAAGACAAAAGATATATTTGAAGAAATATCAAAATATGGAAACTCACTCCTTCCATTACGGTGCAAAGGAAAATTAGTGTGGAATCTTTTATTCCAGAATATGAGTGATTTACTCAACCGGATAGGGTTGAAGATTGATAATGTGTGATTTGGAGATCATACTTTAGAGAGAAGAATATTGATTGAAGCTCTCATACATCTATCCATATTGATTCCCTTTAGTTTTGAATGAGTTTTTGACAGAAAAATTCGCCGGAGAGGTCGAAGGTGTTCGGAATTAATGGAGTTCCAACCGGAGAGAATGATCAAGCTCTGGAATTCTCTGTTGTGTGGTCGTTGTTAGTACGGGTTGTAGCAACGAGAACCTTAGGAGGTATTTTCCTGGGTTAGCCATGACTAGCATTAGAGTTAAATGAGTTGTGGTTGTTTGTGTCCTTAATCAGCACTGGTTAGTGGAATTCCTCCTGGATTGGTTTCTCCCGGATGTAGATTGGTTGATAATCGAACCGGGTCAACAAACACCTTGTCTTATTGTTTTTTATGTTCTACGTTGTTTTTTGTTGTTGAAACGTAGTTATAACTGTGAACCGCCCACGCTTCGGAAGTTGGCCCTTTAAAATGTTCGAATGTGTTTTGTTCGATAAATCACTTCCCCAACATCTGGTATCAGAGCAGTGTTCTCTAATTCGTTGAGTAGATCTGGTCACAGTTGCAGACACGAGTAAGGAAGAACGCTCAACATCAAGACCTCCATTGTTCGATGGGACAAATTATCCAAGTTGGAAGAATAAAATGGAAGCCTTTCTGATGCTTTAAGGTGAAGACGTTTCTGATGCTGTTGAGTGTGCATGGTCTCATCCTATGAAAATCATTCAAGATGAAGATGGTGTTACTACTCTTGTGAAGAAACCGAAGAGAGAATGGACGTTGAATGAAAAAGCTGCTGGAATAGCAAACTCGAAGGCTCTGTTTTCGATTTTTAATGTTGTGGATGAAACTCAGGCGAAGCTTATATCAAATTGCAAAATTTCCAAAGAAGCTTAGGACATTCTGGAAAATGCATTCGAAGGTTCAGCGCAAGCCCGTGAATCTAAACTAGATTATGTTGAGACATTGTTCGAATGAATGAAGATGAATGAAGACGAAACAATCGTTGTTTACTATAATCGCTTTATGGATGTTGTCAATCAAGAAGAAGCTCTTGAAATGCACTTTGAAGAAAAGAGGCTGGTGAGGAAGATGCTTAAAAGTCTCACAAAAAATTTCAGGCCAAAGGTGATTATGCTCGATGAACCACCAAAGCTGAAAAATATGACGTTGGATGAATTATATGGTACATTGGTGAGCTATGAAATGAATTGTCTTGAAGATGAAACTCTAAAAAGCATGGCCTTAAGTGTGGAGGACATGGAGCTGATCGAATCTGATGAGGAAATGGCATTCTTGAGTCGAAAACTTTCAAGGATGATTAGTGAGAAACGTGCAGCAAAGATGAAATATGGGAAGCTTCAGAACCGTGGTGGTTATCAGGGTGTGAGTACGTCTAGCTCAAAACGGAAATACTCTGAACAGAAACCATCAAATTACAGCAAGCCAAAAGAGAAGTTCAATGGTGGATTCAAGAAGAAGTTGTTTGAATCAGTTCAAGAGTCTACCTGCTATGGATGTGGAGGAGTTGGTCACATTAAATCTGAATGTCCAACGGTGAAGAAAAGAGCATATCAAGCAACATGGAGTGACAATGATGAAGAGGAAACTGTCTGTGTCGAGGAACAAGCTGAAGATGATGAAGTTGTTGCTTTCATGGCCGATGAATCTGAATCTATTAAAGATGATGGTGCTTCTACTGATAAAGCTTCAGAGGAATCCATAGAACTTGATGTTTATGAGTTGATTGAAGCCTATGAGGAGATGGTGTTAGAGCAAAAGAAATTTGTGGTGAAGAACAAAAAGCTACTTGATACCATATATCGATTGGAAGCTCAGAATGATAAATTAGAAGATGAGATCGAAGTTCTGAAGAAGGATGTTGTTGTTAAATCAACTGAATCAGATGCTTTGAGGAATGAAAATCTGAGGCTAAAAGATGAGAATGATCGTCTTCGAAAAGGAAAAGAAAAGTTGGATGATGAAATTGAAATGAGTTGTGGTTGTTTGTGTCCTTAATCAGCACTGGTTAGTTGAATTCCTCCTGGATTGGTATCCCTCAGATGTAGATTGGTTGATAATCGAACTGGGTCAACAAACACATTGTCTTATTGTTTTTTATGTTCTGCATTATTTTTCGTTGTTGTAACGTAGTTATAACTGTGAACCGCCCACGCTTCGGGAGTTGGCCCTTTAAAGTGTTCGAATGTGTTTTGTTCGATAAATCACTTCCCCAACATATATTATACAAATTTTAAATGCTAATATTTTGGTAATTGAAAATTTTCAAAATATTCGATTTTAGATTTAGTAGATTTATATTTAGATTTGGTCTTATCGATAGATTAAATTACTTATATTTGAGTATATCGAGTCTGTTTTGTATTGCCTATATATAGACCTCTTTATTTTTATGATTAATAACACAATTTCATTATTTTTATCCAAAAATTCTAACATGATATCATAGCCTATTTTTCTCATGCCGTAGATATAGCCTACCAACCCGTATTTCTCCGAGTACATTCAACCCGGATTTACATGGTGAATGTGAATTTGTCACTTTCCTTCAGCAAAATTGATGTTCACTTTCTTTATGGCAAGGAGAGGTCTATTGAGGATAATTAGAATATCGCAGTTTTCACTTATTTTTATTAAAAAAAAAGGAAAAATTGCAAAAAAGATGTCATATATGTAAATTCAATTATTATTTTTGAACATTTTTCTTATTTTCGTAATTTATGACATTGTGGGTACTCCGGACATTATTTTTGTCCTCCGGCATCGAAAAAACGCACATGGATGTCACGTGCGTCTTTGTGGGATGGCCGGCATATACGTGGACGTCACCGTTAGTGTTGTCGTTCGTGGGGTCGTTGGACATCTGACGCGAAATTATTTTTTTTTCACTTTCGCAATTTAGAACATTATGTGTACTCCAGGTATTATTTTTGCCCGCCAAAAAAACAATGTGTTCTAAGGTTTTATTTTATTTCAATTTGGTCCAAATTGCAAATATTATTAAAATTAATATATATATATGTATGTATTTAAAAAAAAAAATCCACATCACCTGTCCGACGTCCCTAGAACAAATTGTTTTTCCGGCACCAGAGGGCAAAAATATTACTCGGAGTACACATAATATCCTAAATTATGAAAGTGAAAAAAATATATATATAATTCCACGTCACCTGTCCGACGACCAAATGGACAACAATACAGCAACGGCGACGTCCACGTATGCGCCGGTCTTTCTGGCGCCGGAAGTCAAAAATTATGTCAGTGGTACACATAATGTCAAAAATTGCGAAAATAGAAATAAAATATTCGAAAATTATAATTGGAGCTATATAAAAGATATTTTTTGCAATTTTTCCTATAATAAAACCTATGGAAAAAATGAATTTGTTCACTGCACCAAGATGTGAAAATGATTTCTTTTGAAATTCTAACAGATATGTCAGTCAATTGGATTACAGCCTTGAAAGGAACTAAATCATACAACCACCCCCCCTCCCGCCAGGTTTCTAAACAACAAATAAGACATTAGCTTCATAATTGTTTCTATGTCACACATTACTTTCCAAAGAAAAATGATAATGTACTATGAAATTATCACAATTACAAAAAATTCAATAAAATTCTCTAAATAATAAATATATATGTTTATAGGGAAAATTACAAAATAAAAGAATATATATCTTGTATGTATACTCAGTTATCATTTTTGTCTTTTAATCATCATAGCAAAATATATCATGCACGTGTCACAATTTTGCTATTTCAGTACATTGACAGCACGTGACCACTCCCAGATGCACTTTATGGGCACCCTAACAAAATGTATTATGGATATATCACAATTTTTCTAAAAATATTTCAGATACATATTTTATATTTTATAGTATTGAAATAGCGAAACTGCGACACATCCAATATATGTTTTGTTATGGTGACATTAAAAGACAAGAGTGATAATTAGGAATATGTACGAAAATTTTTCACAATTTTCCTATATATATATATATATATATAATTAATTGTTGTCCATATAGAAATAGTTGTTGAAAAAATATCTTATATAAACAATTATTATACTTTGCAATATAGAATTATAACATAATATATTAAGTAAAAGAAATGAACACATTAACTTCATGTACATAATTTTTCACAAGTAATTTTATTGAATCAATCAAATGTGATTCCACCTACTAAGTTTTATTTTACATATGTAAATTACTATTTTTAAGAGAAAAACCAAATGAAATAGAAAAATTAAAATGCAAATAAAATTAAAGATCATTCTTCGATTTGATTTTCCAATATAATTTGCTTTTTTATTAATAAAATCCTAAACATAAAATCACTGAAGGATTATAGTTATTATTTGTTACTAGAAAATTGATATTAATTACTTACGCTCAAAATGAAGGCGACACGGTATATAAAAGAGTCGATATACATTCTTTGTTTATCCACCTAACCATCGTCAACGAACAAAATAATATACAACATATATGATCCTAAATGGTATTTTATATAATCAGACAATGCATAATGATAATTCAATTCATCGACTATTTTGCCATGTAGTAACAACTATGCCTAATGATTTGGTCATTGGTGAGCTATTTTATGCTATTTGAATATTTTGCTTATTTAATTATTTATTTTTTTGTTATTTTTTATCTTTCATATATTTCTTTGTCCAAAAATTATTGAAATTTCAGTAAAAGAACTCTGAAAAGAATATTCTATGTATTTAGAATTATAATTATGAAATCAATACAATATTTAAGTGATGTTGCTTTTCTTGTGTTATAAATTTGTAAGAGGTACATTATGATATTTTACCTTTATTTATATATAGTACACAAATTTTAAATGCCAACGTTTTGGTAGTCAGAACATATTCTAAATATTTTTGTTTTATAATTTATATATTATCCATAAGATCCGACCAAATTTGACTAAATCACTTCTATATCATTTGAATTATTACTATATTAATGTAATATACCATATAATGGAAAATACTACAATTACATTAATTTCGATTTACTAATAATTTTATGAAACATTTTTTTAAAACTATAAATACATGATCACTAAACATATAACTCATCATCTCATTATAAGTTGAAAATATTTTCGTAAGATCTATTCACTTCCTCACATTTAACTCTTCACTTAAGTTTATCATGGCAGCTAGACAAACAAGAGGGCGTCAAATAATTCCAATGCAACAAATCGAAAATCGCAATGACATGTATGCCACATTTACAAAACGGCGCCATGGCCTCTATAATAAAGCAAGTGAGCTCAGCACCCTTTGTGGTGTCGATATTGGGATAATTATATTTTCTCCTACGGGAAATCCATATTCATTTTTCCAATCCAGTATGGAATCTGTACTGGAGAGATTTAGGAATCCGAACCAGCCCATGAGCAACGAATCTCAACTCCTCGATGCTCAATCCCGGAATCGAATGAGGCAGCTCAATCAGCAGCTCGATGAGATCCTTGAATCGAAAGACGAACTGAAAGAAAAGGACAAGCAGCTTGATGAGGTTGATGACACTCGCCCCAAAGGCTGGTGGGAAGAGGTACCCGTTGGGAATCTGGATGCAGGTCAAGTCCAGGAGTGGATCACCTGGTTCGAGGCCCTTCAATCCCAAGTCCAAAGGCGAGAGCAAATGAGAAGATCATGAATGTCTCTAGCGCGGGCGTCAGTTGATCAACCATTTTTGGAGTCCACAAATGGCAAGAATAACAATTGTTAGAATATTTTTTATAAGGATTGTCGAGTTGATCGATGATAGTTCGTAGTCTATCTCAAACTTTATTCCGTAACCATAACCGTATATAAAATGTGTATGGATAAGAAATAAGAAAAATATAATAGACACAAAACACAATATATAGTTACCCAATTCGAAATATGTGAAAATAATTGTGTAGGGTTTCCTTTTACGCTTAATAATAATAATAATAATAAGAATAATAATAACAACAACAATAATAATAGTGAGCAATGTATTTGTGTGATGTCAATTGTTGCATGAGTCAAATAATTTAATCATATTAATTATTTGAATTGGAGTCCCCAGGTATAGATCGTTCAGGATAAAAGTGGGTTAAATTGTGTTTTGTGTATGTGTAGACAAACAATGGTATTAATTTTATAAACACAATTTTTTTTTATAAATTACATTTGATTTGGATTAATTAAATTAAGGTGGGATCATCTGATACCATTCTAGTTTATTTGACTTCCGATTTGAATATGAGTGGCTTCTTTGGAGGATTTGAATATTTGATATCAAATTTGGCCTCCTTGAACAATTGGGAGGGATTCATTCTTCAAGTTAGCTTTGAAGGATTCTGGAGGGTTTTTATCTCAAAGATGAATTTAACCTTCGGCTTGGCTTTGATGATTTCTTTGAAGGATTTGGGGTTTTTGATCTTTGTGGATGCGGATTTGATACTTTCTAATATTTTTCGACGACATGTCCCTTCGACTTTGGGATCATAGGGGGCTGAACTGATGATTTGCACGAATAATACGATGAACATCTTGAAACTTTGACGTAAACTTGAAGAAATCGGAATGGCTCTTTAAAAGAAGCTTGATCCTCTCATGGGCTAGAACAAACTTTGAAAAATACTTTGAAAGATACGTAAAACATTACAGAGAAAATATAGAGAGGCTTAACCGTTACTTGAATCTTCAATGTAACTTTTGTATATCAAATAATATAGCCAAGACCTCTATATTAGAGGAGGCGTGATTTCGATTTCCTTTACAAATGATGTCATGTAGCACCCTCCACTACAGTTGGTTGATAAAAATATTTTATAATCTTTACTTTTTTATTAACGCTATTTTTTTGTTACGTTGACGAGATTTTTTATATCTTTTACATTCTCAACAAGATATATATTATTTTCCTTCTCTTCCTATCATCCTTTATAAACTTTTTTGTTGATGAGATCCATTTTCTTATTGCCATAATTATTGTGCTTTATTTATTTATATAATATTTCTACAATATTTTTTCTTTTGCCCAAATTTTACATCAATAGTTAATAGTTATTGTACAAAAATCAATATATGCCCATGATTAAATATTACATTTTTATTTTATTAAGATTTTATTTTCTACCTAAATATATATTTAATTGAATTACATCATCTATTTTTCAATGCCTACAATATGTATTAATAAAAAGAAAATATGTTTTTACTATTTTTATTTGTATTACTCCAAAATATCATTTTTTTTATTATTATAATAAAAGTAACGAGGCACTAATAATAAAATATTTTTAATTTTTACAAAATTACAAAAATATGATTACAAATAGTATGTCTTTTTGTTATATTTTGTATGCACTACAAAAAAATAATATATTTGTAACGGAATTACGTCCCTAAAGTTCACGTAGCTAACGTAATTTCATTCCTATTTCCGTCTCTAATGTCATTAGTAACGGAAAAAGTAGATTTATAGACAAAAAAAATTTTGTTACAAAAATAATTTTTTCTTGTAGTGATGTGTGATGTGTTAATATACCATATGTGTTGAGATCTATTGTTTTATGTATTGTGAACCTATGTGTTATATTTAAATTATATTAATATTCATTCCGCCTGGGAAATTTAGCTCACTTACTTTGTATTTTTACAAAAATAAAAAATAAAAATAAAAAAGTGAAATTTAATTTTTCAGACTGAGAGAGTAAATATTTATTATTTTTGTTTTTATCTCATTTGTTTTCTACTAATATTTTATATGTTGTTGGTATTGTGGTAAGTGTAATTTATAATTAGTATATAATATTTTAAGAAAAGAAACAAATAGCCAACAATTTATATAAAAACTTTTACCGAAAATTTTCATTGGATCACTGAAATATAATTTCACGTACTAAAATTTATCATAAGCATGTAAATTGCTATTGTAAGATATAAAAAAAATGGAAATAAAATATTAAGATTGAAATGCATATCATTTTTCAATTATAATAAATATATTGATATATAAGGTCAATGGGGAACATGTTATATAGACAACGAGTTTAATATATGTACAAAGAAATAGTATTGATTAGACTTAGGTGTTGATCCGCGCCTACAATATAATCTGACAGCACATGACATAAATTCATACATCATATATTGTATTGATTATTAATTGTTGAGATATTTTAGATATTCAGTTTTTGGTTTAGTAGATTTATATATAAATTTGATCTTATTCATATATTAGATTACTTAGATTTGAGTCTATCGATTTTATTTTGTATTGCATATATATATATATATATAGGCTCCTTATTTTGATGATCAATAAGACAATTTTCCCTAAAATTTCTAACATTAGCATTTGTTTATGTTCTATTTATATATGTGCGATTTGTTAATATACCATGTATGTTGAGATCACTTGTATTATATGTTGTGAATCTATAAATTATATTTTGTATTATATTAATATATATATTTATTATTTACATTTATATCTCGGTGTTTTCTACTAATATTTTATTAGTATTGTAGTAAGTGTAATCTATAAGTAGAATATAATATTTTAAGAAAAGAAACAAATAGACAACAAGTGCAGAAAATTTTCATTGGATCACTAAAATATATTTTCATTTACTAAAATTTATTTTAAGCATGTAATTTGCTATTTTTAAGAGTACAAAAAGAAAAATGAAATGGCAATTAACAAAATTTATTTTTTGATTTGTTTTTCCCAATATAATATTTTTCGAATCATTTTTATTGATAAAATCCTAAATGTAAAATCCTTAAAAGATTATAGTCATTATTGTTTACTACAAAAATAATGTTAATTACTTACGCTCAAAATGATTGTTGTGTCGTCTATAAAAGGATCGATATTCATTCATTGATCATCCACAGCATAAAAATATACCACCTAAGCATAATGATAATTCATCAACTACATTGCCATGCAGTAGCAACTATGACAAATGAATTGATCATTAGTGAGTTATTTATTCTATTTGAATAATTTGCTCATTTATTTATTCATTACTTTTATGCTTTATATATATATATATATATATATATCTATCTTTGCCCAACAAATCTTGAATTGTCCGTTGAAGAAATTTGGAAAAAGAATATTACAAGTATTTAGAATTAAATCAAGATATCAATTTAATATGTTAGTTAGCCCCCGAGACCCGCCCCGTCCCGAACCCGGAGGGTTCGGGGCCAACCCAGAAAATCCGTTTTTTTTTAAAATATATAATAATAAATATTTTTTTAACAATCGAATACTAAAATAAATAGCATTAAAAGCACAAAAAAAAAATCTAAAAACAATCAAATATTAATCCATAAAAATAAGATAAATAAAAAATAATATATTTTATTATATAAATATACATATATTAGATATAATAATTTTAAAAAATTATTTGGAGCTACTAATTGAATTTTATATTTAAAATTATTTAAGTAAATAAATAATATATTTTTATTATATAAATGTATATATATTAGTTATAATAATTTTAAAAAATATCCGGGTTCGGGTTCGCGTCCGGATTGGGACGAATTTTTAGTAAAACCCGTAACCCGCCCCGAACCCGGTCGGGTTTAAAATTTTAAATCCACAACCCGCCCCGAAATATATTATTTAGACCTGAACCTGCCCCATTAAGAGCGGATCCGGGACGGGTCCGGGGCTAACCCGCCCCATTTGACATCCCTATATATTGTTATACAAATTGGTAATTGGGAGCATATTCTATATATTTTGCATTACAATATATACACATTATCCATGTACGATCCAACAAAAATTGACTAAATCACCAAAATATCATTTAAATTATTAAAATATTAATGTCATATACTTTATAATGCCAAAAACTACAATTACAATAATTCCTTTTTACCATTTAAATTATTAAAATATTAATGTCATATACTTTATAATGCCAAAAACTACAATTACAATAATTCCTTTTTACCTATTAATGTTATGAAACATGCATGCTTTAAATTAATTATTTTTTTTACTCTAAATACATGGTACTATCGATATAATTCATCCATCTCATGATCTTACAAGTAATTTAGAACATTCCCCGTTACGATTTAGTCCCTTGTATTTTAAATTTTAACTTTATTTTATTCATAAAATGGCAGGTAGACAAAGAAGGGGCCGACAAAGAATTTTAATTCAACAAATCGATAATCCAAATAACATGTACGCCGCCACATTTACAGAGCGACGTATTGGCTTGTATAATAAAGCAAGTGAGCTAAGCATTCTTTGTGGTGTCGATATTGGAGTAATTATATTCTCCCCTATAGGCAATCCATACTCATTTTTTCACCCGAGTATGGAGTCGCTACTAGGGAGATACAGAAACCCAAACCAGCCCGTCTGCTGTGAATCTCAACTCATCGAAGCTCAATCCAGGGACCGAATCAGGCAGCGCAATCAGCAGCTCGATGAGATCCTAGAAGTGAATGACCAAATAAAGGAAAAGGACAAGCGGCTTGATGAGGTTGACGAGACTCGCCCCAAAGGCTGGTGGGAGGAGGTACCCATTGAAAGTCTCGATGCAGGTCAAGTCCAGGAGTGGACCACCTGGTTCGAGGCTGTTCTTGCCCAAGTCCAAATATTATTAGGGTCGGAATTAAATTAGCTACGTAAACTTT